CACTCACTGCATACCGAGAAACATTGCTTGTAAATGTGGTTTACTCTTTCTGGCTCCAACCACAACATCAACTCAAGGCCAAATACTCAAATATAATCATTGTTTCAGAGTGAAATACTTTGTATACACTGCCTTTGATGAGACATTCCGGTGTTTCTTAACTTTTCAGCCTGAATTTTGTCTTTAGTATGTTTCACACAGATTGTCTCACTTCCAAGAAAGAACATCTGCTCGTTTTTATAGGCTACAGAGACTGTAAGGTCATCAAGATAAGGAGCCATGATCCTTTTAATCAAACTGTCAGTTAACTGCAATAAAGCCCTGTCATTACTCTAACCTTTCCCCACCCCTCTCTGTAAGGTGCAGGGAATTCAGCTGTATCTGAGAATTAAAATACTGCCAACTCTTTCTTAGGTCACACCCAGGAACAAACCACAGTTAAAGTTACCAGAATTTGTACCCCTCCTTCTCAGCCCCAATGCCAGGAAAAGAGAATTTTCTACCCTTTGTGTGTTAAATCCTGTTTTAATTACCGTACTTTAACCAGAGGATAACTGGCCATCTTACTAAGGCTATTCTTTTTACTTTGGCGGTGACTGCATGGTCAGAGCTTCAATTCCTTGGGCCAAAAATTCATTTCTTAAAATGTGGAAATTTTGCTCCGTATAAACCATTATTCTTTGGTAATGAAAATTAAGTATGATGTCTAATCATTTTTACTAAATTAGACTAAAATCACATCCGTCAAAAAAATGTTTTATAAAAGTACTGTAATATAACAGCCAATAATTCAATATTGAAGGGACAAAGTATAATTTCTGTCTTAATTTGCACATTTGTCCAGAGTGTATTCTGTCACTATTAGTCATAAGCAATACATGCATTTATTTGAAAGGACAAAATCCAGAATATTCATCCTTTTTTGTCCTACTTTCTAACTAAACTGAAAGGGAGCAATTTTAGTGTGAATGACATTTTTCAGTTTCAGGAACCCAGATTTCATTATAAAATTCATAACTAAGTTTGAAAAAGCCTTTTCTGTGTGATACCCAACTTTCTGTTTGTGTATTCGGCTCAGCGTGTGAGTTATGAGCTAAGGTGGTCAGCAATTATTGTAGGGTCACTCTAGGAGACAAACATCTAACATTACACCTGTCCAGAGCATGATCTCAACCTATGATGATATGCCCATTCACAACAATTATTTCCTATTAATATACCTTAAATAGTAAAATGAACAGCAGCTCATAAAGATGTTAAGCTCCAGGGAGGCCTGAACATGTGGCAAACTTTAATTACGACTGTGATGTTGTGCTTTAAAAATTAATTATGAAGGAATAGTTCACTCAAAAATAAAAATTCTCATGTTGAGTAAATGATTTTATGATCAATGACTACAGTCGCCATCAGTTATTCTTTTTTCAACAGCCTCCAAACAAAATGATACACTAAACCAATATAAAAGAACACTCTGTGAGGTAAGCATACTAGTCTGCTGATTTTTTCATGCACTTTGACTTCACTGTCAATCAGAATAAGTGTGCTAGTGCAGGGGAAATTGTAGTGCAAACTCAATGAGGACTGCAACTAATAACATTAGTAAGTGTTGGCAGCCATGCATGCAATAAAATCACACCTCTGCTTCTTGTGCTTTCACCTGCTCTATTTAAACTGTGATGCAGTGGGCATCACAACTATCCTGTGTTCAGCGATAAACAATGACCTGTAGATACTTTTTTGCTTCAGCAAAACCATTTATGCCCCATACACTCACATCAATAAACCTCAAACAGACACAAACATGGGGTGAACTGCAATGTTTAACTGCACAAATGCCAAATTTTAATGACATAATTTCTGTTTTATCACACACACAAAAAAAATTCCCACTGTTTTGACATTTTATATGATTAGCTTTGAATTTTTTTAAATAATTTAGATTCAGACAGATTCACTAATTAATCATTTTGACAATTTTATAAAACTGTTTTACCGATTCATTGAAAATAACTGACTCCAAAGAATAAAACACCCACAATTCACAACAGCATTATCTACGAGATTAAATATATTTAATAGCAAATAATAATTGTAAAAACTCTTCACTATAGAAATTTCCATCACTTCCACAATTTTTATGACATTTTTTTTAAAGTCTGAATAACACAATTTCAATAGTTAACAATAACTTCACAAAAGGTTTCATTTGTTAACATTAACACAAATTAATGAAAAATAATTAAAGAAAAAAATAAAGCATAATATAACAAGAATTTATTAATTTGACAAATTAATGTTAATTTCAACATTTACCAATACATTATTCAAATCAAAAGTTGTGTGTATTAACATTATTTACTGGACCTGAGCTAACACGAACTAACAATGAACAGTTGTATTTATTAACTAATGTTAAAGGGATAGTTCACCCGAAAATGAAAATTTGATGTTTATCTGCTTACCCCCAGGGCATCCAAAAAGTAGGTGACTTTTTTCTTCAGTAGAACACAAACGGAGATTTTTAAGTCAAACTGTGACCGGCCGTGAGGAGTCGTCTTTTTCAACAGCCTCCAAACAAAATGATACACTAAACCAATATAAAAGAACACTCTGTGAGGTAAGCATACTAGTCTGCTGATTTTTTCATGCACTTTGACTTCACTGTCAATCAGAATAAGTGTGCTAGTGCAGGGGAAATTGTAGTGCAAACTCAATGAGGACTGCAACTAATAACATTAGTAAGTGTTGGCAGCCATGCATGCAATAAAATCACACCTCTGCTTCTTGTGCTTTCACCTGCTCTATTTAAACTGTGATGCAGTGGGCATCACAACTATCCTGTGTTCAGCGATAAACAATGACCTGTAGATACTTTTTTGCTTCAGCAAAACCATTTATGCCCCATACACTCACATCAATAAACCTCAAACAGACACAAACATAGGGTGAACTGCAATGTTTAACTGCACAAATGCCAAATTTTAATGACATAATTTCTGTTTTATCACACACACAAAAAAAATTCCCACTGTTTTGACATTTTATATGATTAGCTTTGAATTTTTTTAAATAATTTAGATTCAGACAGATTCACTAATTAATCATTTTGACAATTTTATAAAACTGTTTTACCGATTCATTGAAAATAACTGACTCCAAAGAATAAAACACCCACAATTCACAACAGCATTATCTACGAGATTAAATATATTTAATAGCAAATAATAATTGTAAAAACTCTTCACTATAGAAATTTCCATCACTTCCACAATTTTTATGACATTTTTTTTAAAGTCTGAATAACACAATTTCAATAGTTAACAATAACTTCACAAAAGGTTTCATTTGTTAACATTAACACAAATTAATGAAAAATAATTAAAGAAAAAAATAAAGCATAATATAACAAGAATTTATTAATTTGACAAATTAATGTTAATTTCAACATTTACCAATACATTATTCAAATCAAAAGTTGTGTGTATTAACATTATTTACTGGACCTGAGCTAACACGAACTAACAATGAACAGTTGTATTTATTAACTAATGTTAAAGGGATAGTTCACCCGAAAATGAAAATTTGATGTTTATCTGCTTACCCCCAGGGCATCCAAAAAGTAGGTGACTTTTTTCTTCAGTAGAACACAAACGGAGATTTTTAAGTCAAACTGTGACCGGCCGTGAGGAGCCGTCTTCTTCTTCTTCTTCTTGCTTTACGGCGGATCGCAGACTTATAAGTGCATAACCGCCACCTATCTCTCAAATGGACCATTGACACTCCTAATTGAGATTGTAGATAAGAGTGTCAATGGTTCATTTGAGAGATAGGTGGCGGTTATGCACTTATAAGTCTGCGATCTGCCGTAAAGCAAGAAGAAATAGACGCCTCATGCGCAGGCTGAAGAAGAAGACGCGAACGCACTCAGGACAGTTCAGACATTGTGGTGAAAATCAGAGGTAAAAAAACGATATAAATACTGTTCAGTTTCTTGCACAGGTTATGCACTTATAAGTCTGCGATCCGCCGTAAAGCAAGAAGAAATAGACGCCTCATGCGCAGGCTGAAGAAGAAGACACGAACGCACTCAGGACAGTTCAGACATTGTGGTGAAAATCAGAGGTAAAAAAACGATATAAATACTGTTCAGTTTCTTGCACAGACCGATCGTTTCGTGTCTTTTCACTTCAATGTACCATCACGAGCAGCAGGGTTAAATTTGGTTATGTTTGTGTATGTTTTATGACTCTCAAAGCCGTGATTCCCATCCACTTACATTATAGGACTGACGGACTGCAACGGTTTGACTTAAAAATCTCTGTTTGTGTTCTACTGAAGAAACAAAGTCACCTACATCTTGGATGCCCTGGGGGTAAGCAGATAAACATCAAATTTTCATTTTTGGGTGAACTATCCCTTTAACAAAAATGATCAAATATTGTAACAAATAAATTGCAAATTGTTAGTTATAGTTAATCCATTAATTAACATGAACTAATGGGATCTTATTGTAAAGTGTTACCGATATGCCCCAGGTTTTTCATAAAAGTGGAAAATAAGTGGCAGTGGGATATTCCAGAACTCCATCATCATGATGCACATACCATATAACTCTTTTTCATAGAGGAATTATTAAACACTAGTCCTGTTCAAGAAGACACTTGCTTATTGCTTGACAAGTGAAGTGATAGCCCACATTCGTGATACTTTAAACTTGTGGCCATTATTTCTTTTTATTTATACTGCAACAATGAAATACTGCCTACCTCGGCACACTACAGTAATAACCGTGAACACCGCGTGTGTGTGTGTGTGTGTGTTTATTTCTGGAAGCCCCGTCTCTCCGCAACATGGCTGACACTATGGCTACAGCTTTACATTGTTATTGTTTCAGCCACGATGTAAACGGAGCACGTATAATCACATAACAGACACATGTAATAGAAAAAAGTTACATCTAATAAACGTTTATAACCAGAGATGACGGCTTTCATACTCACCATTTGATGATGGTGACCGTAAGGGATATTTGTCTCTTGAAAGAAGGCACTAAGGGCTGTCTGTGAGTGAGAGATCATAACACAGCATTACCTCACATGCTGTATAATAATATTCAAACATATTTATACCTCGCTAGACTGGAAAACTGTCGGAGTTTCACTTATTTTAGAGAGCTGAGAATGGCTGCAGGATTTAGGCTGATCTAAATGAAAAACGAAAGCACAACATTGTATCAGTGTTGAGCTCTGCTCTGTAATCTGTCAGCGATCATCTTCATTGCATAATAGCATGGGAAGCTAGTACAGTGTGTCATGGGGAAGGATTATAGTATTTAATCTGGAGTAAACTCTAATTGGATAGTAGCCTGTCTCTGTTGAGTTTTTCGCAATTGTTATACTATAGAGATGCAGTTTTATTCGAAAATAAAGCACATGCAGACGGCATTAATAGATTTTAAATGTCGTAGGAGGAGGAAACTAAAACATGTTTCGGTCATAGTTATTAGTCATTATTAAGCAATGGCAACCAGACACGCGGACAGACAGAGAATGCAATGCATCACATAAACAATGCACTAGCGTAGGCATGCATAGTGTGCTCTCCATTGCGCTTACCTCAAACTGCCAATGTGCCGCTTGCAAAAGCTGTTTCGCTTGGTCTGCGGCACATCCAGCTGTCAGGACGAACTGGTTTATCATAACTTGATGTTTGAGTTCATCCATATTCGCTGGTGTTTATTTCCGAGCCACGAACAATAGTGTTTTACCCGGGACTGGATTTTTGAGATTTAGTCTCTCCTCTTTTCTCTTTCAGTCGCCCACCATTACAGCCGGTTGAGCAAACACAAATATTTACTGTAGGAGCGCTGGTGTAACGAGCGCCAGATGATTGACAGCATGAAGCAGCCAATCAGAGCGGGGCGGAGGTCATGGGAATTGTATGCGTCGGGATTCCATGCTTGTTGTGTTTCTGATGGTGACACTGCGTTAGTTTGATGTATATGTTGAAGCGCTCCAGATCGATGTTGACGATTTTGCTTATACAATTTGACAATATCTAATCCTAAACAAAGAAAAGGCACGCATAAACTACGCGACAAGGATAAGAGTGCGTTTTAAGTTGCTCTTTAAACGCCGAAACTACATATCCCGCCATGCAACGCTTTGTTTGAATTTATGAATGACGGTCGTTCCCGTCCAATTCCCATTAGCGCTATGCCACTACCTTCCCAAATATGGTAAACAAATCTTCCAACACCAATTAAATCACTAGCATCTTAACAGAAGACCCCCTGGTGTACTTTAGCGCAGTCCTTTGTAGTGGTAAGCAAATGACGACAACTTTTCATGACGTTGCTTTTACTTTTAATAACAGTGCGTGACTGCGCTTTGGTGAAACGATGCTTTGACTACAAAAAAGCATCACGTCTTAAACACAAATACGGAATAAACGATGTATAATTATTTCATCGTGCTCGATCCATATGTGATATTAGTTTGGGTGTTATAAAATAATTATCATTTTCAGCATCGATATTGGAATTTATTCATCTTGTGAATCATAAACATAACTCATTGTATGTCCATGATAATTAATTAAAAAGCCTTTAGTTCAGAAATTAATGTTTCTTTTAAGCTTTTGTGGTGTGGTTTAGGTCAGCTGAGACCCCGACGGAAGGTAGACAGGAACAACATATCCCAATATCCTTTGCTCTCAGAAAATCCCATCTCGCGAGAGTATGGGTTCCTCAGAAGAGAGTCTTTTCCAATAGTCTTGTTTTTGTTTTTATTTTGTTTACCGATTAAACGTCGTTTATTTGGCGTCTACTCGCGAGTTAACTGATTTTACATAAGTCACTTTGTTTTGTGGAAGAGCTAAAACGTAGATACAAAAGTTGATTGCTTTTGTTCGCAGTTCTTTTTTGTCGCGAGAGAGATGGGAATGTATCCATAGCGGAGGAAGCAAACCGTATCCAGCTAACTGTCCAAACAAATCTTCCTTTATCCACATATATCGGTCTTCAGCAGCCATTTACACTTAAACATGGGTTCAATACTGAGCAGGAGGATTGCTGGAGTTGAAGACATCGATATTCAAGCCAATTCGGCGTACAGATATCCCCCCAAATCAGGTAAATGTAATTTAAGTAAAGTGTTGACAAACGTTAGCCTTATTACGAAGTCTAATGTAGTGTGCATTTTTACCATTTTTGGTGTCATTCGTGGACTGTCACATATTCTTCATGTTTGTTACTTTCTGTTAAAAAATGTCTCATCCTTCTGCTTTTTAAAGTTACTTTGGGAGTGACTTAGAAAAGAAAATACATACTAGAAAAGGTATAGAATATATAGATAAAGATGCAGAAAAGATATACTAATTTCATTGTCCTCATGTATGCATTAAAACATCATCCTGTGTCAACTTTAATGACCACATCCATCCCAGATAATAATCTACCTAATGACTTTATTGCAGGAAATTATTTCACCAGCCATTTTTTCATGGGAGGAGAAAAGTTTGACACACCCCACCCAGAGGGATATCTTTTTGGAGAAAATATGGATTTGAATTTCTTAGGCAACAGACCTGTGCAGGTGACCAAATGAAACGACCTCAAAACTTTATGAGTTTGACACTTTGTCTTTCTCACACATACGTTTTGGTCCTATTTTCCACAGTTTCCCTATGTGACCCCAGCATCGCATGAGCCTGTGAAGACGCTGAGGAGTTTGGTGAACATCAGGAAGGATTCTTTGCGACTTGTCCGGTATGTTGTGAATATTGTCATGGCTTGAAGGGACTGCTGATGGTACCACAATGTGGACTATATGCTGAAATAAGAAAGAAATGTGTGGAGGTTTGACAACCAACTTTTGTTTTTCGTTTTTTTGCAGGTATAAGGATGATTCTGACAGCACACCGGAGGATACAGGAGATCCCAGGGTTCTGTACAGTGTTGAATTCTGCTTTGATACTGATGCCAGAGTGGCTATTACATTATACTGTCAGGCCTTTGAGGAGTTTGCCAATGGGATGGCAATGTAAGTTTCCACTGAGTAGTACATTGGGTAAAGTTTCTGCAGTTGAATGATGCTAAATCACTGTGCTTGTGGTGTACGCTTTTTTAACTAAGTGAATTTCTTTTAGAGGAAAAGGATTTGATGATAATTAGAAGTTTCTTGTGATTGATAGCCTCACTTGCGCCAGTCGAGTCCAAAAAAACATAACCCACTGGCATCTAGACAACTCCTGGCAACTTAATTCTTTCCTTGGAAACAGTGGCACAATTAGCCCTTGGTCTAAAAACTGATATAAAGATTAAGCCCTTTTACATAGGTCACTGTGTTTTGATGCAGATTATTAGTAATTGACACCCTCAGGTATGCTTGAGATGTGATGTGTTGGTGATAATCACTACAATTTTCTTTTTAAAGATACAGCCCCAAGAGCCCTTCAATGGTGTCTGAGACGGTTCATTATAAGAGAGGGATAAATCAGCAATTTTCTCTGCCATCCTTCAAGATTGATTTCACCAAATGGAAACCTGAAGAGGTATGATTTTCTAAGATTACATTTCTTTAGATGCTTAGAGGCTCATTTGCATCGTCTCATCAAGGCCTTTGTGCTGTGATGACTTCTTAAAAGAATAATGCTTTTAAAAAACAATTGAAATAAACATTGAAATATTTGTGTAATATTTTAGCTGAACTTTGATCTGGACAAAGGTGTTTTCCCTTTGGTGGTCCAAGCAATAGTGGATGATGGAGATGGTTGGTGAAAAATTTTGATCATAACAAATATAATCAGTTAGAATTATGTAATAGCATTACATACTGTTGTCTCACAAACCACTGCGTTTTCTGTTACAGATGTCAGCGGGCATGCACATGTTCTCTTGGCAGCTTTTGAAAGGGTGTGTATTTCTTGTGATTTGTTTTACGCTAAAGAACGTCTGCTGAAAGCTTGCAAGCATTCAGCCATGTTTTGTAACACTGAATAACATTGAGTAAGTCATTAACCAGGCAGGATTTTATAGAGTCAGGATCGTTTGAGATTCATGGTTCACATGATCGTGGAAAACCTGGAATGTAGGTTTGAAGTTTTAAAATTGTGATTTTTAAGGCTCTTAGAAGTCATGGTCAAAAACAGTTAGAACCCTGAAAATTGTTTTGTAGCCAATGTAGAAAATGAAAGTAGACAGAATTAACATAATTTACCCTTATTACATAGAACAAAAGTTCCCACAGAAAGCATCATGAAGAGCATCATACATTTTTATTAACACCGCATAATCAGACTAATATGTCAAGAGACCTTGTGCGCTCCTCATTTGTGAGTCACACACATGGTCTTCACGGTCAAAAGTGACCGGACACCTGAAATGTAACTTTTTTCTCTCTCTCTTCTTCTTCAGTAAAATCAATCTAAAATATTTTTGTTCAATAATATTTTTTCTTTTGTATTTTGAAAGAATTTTATGGTACTAATGAATATTTATGCAATAATTATGATACATTTTTTACAAATTATATTAATATATATATATTTCTTTTTTATAATTTTTCAGTTAATGCAGTATTTCAGATTAAAATAGAGACTAGGCCTTTAAAATCCAATTTTTGAAGGCAGAATAGCACCTCCTGGTGAGAGCAAAAAAAGAAAAACCTGTAGTTTCATGGTGTACTAGATTCCTCTATAGGACTCTATAGAGAGGCTTTTGAATTCCCTAGTTGTTTTGATACATAATTGTTTACTTTTATTAGGTTTTGGATTTAAATGTATATTAAGGCATTCTCAAAGACTAGTTTTTGTCAAGGTTTATATTTTTGTTGTTTCAAATGTTGATTTGAAGTGTAGGTTTTTGCATTATTATTACTACATTCAAACCTGAAAGAAAGCATTTTGTTACACAAAACATTACAATTCTATAAAAATGTAACAAAAATGAACAGGAATGCTTTATCAGAGCTTAATCCTTCTGGGACTGATCCAATTCTTTTGAGTATGTATAATTCTGTATGTGTGTGTGTCTGTGAGTGTGTGTGTAAGTAAGTGTTTGAGTGGATGTATCTGTTTTACATTCTTGATGTTTTAGAGTATAACCCCTTCCTTGCTGTCCACTTTTTTGTACTACATTGTAGTTGAATTATTGATTTTATTTGACATAGTTTCAGTGTTACAGTCACACCAGTTCATAGGTGTGTGTGTGTACGTACAAGTGTGTGTCTGTGCGTGTGTGAGTTGGTGTGTTGATTTTGCACTCTGGATGTTTTAGAGTTTTACCCCTTCATTGCTGTGCAGATTTGTTTTCTGCATTGTGGGGGATTTGTAGATTGTACACACAAAAATTTTCTTTATTTTCAATTTTTTTTCCCCATTTCGCATTCATTTCTTATGGTCGGTCATTTTTGACCGAAGACCATGAGTGTGACTATTTTCTTTTACGACCACTTGGCTTTTTCGAATCATGCCCTCAATTTTTTTTGTTCCCATACCAAGTGCCATAAAAGTCACCAAGTTTTGTACCATTCTGGTGAAGCTACGATTTTTAAAAATTCAAAATGTAAAATTCACCAGTCAGAAGTGACCGAAGACCGCACAAGGTTAAAAGTAATTAATTGATCTGTTTTAATTAATTTAGGAACTATAAGGTCAAGGTCAACTTTATTATCCCCGAAGGGCAATCTGTTTCACAGCCAACAGTAAACCATATGCAAACAACAAACAAGCAACCACAACACACAGACAAAAAACAATGACTTCCAATAATAATATACATAAAATTATTTATAATTTAAAAAACCAATGGCAGCTGGTATAAAATAATTTTTAAATCTATTGGTCCTACATAAAGGCAAATAATATCT